TGATTTAGATGCCACTTCCCTGGGTCCTTGCTGCACAGGAAGGGAGATGACCTTCCCAAGCCAGTCACATTGTGTCCCTTTGCGTCTCTCTAGTGTACATTCAGGCTTTCTGCTCCCACAGCCCTCCCAGCCCATCCTGTGGGCTCTCAGCACAAATGCCCCTTAGGCAGGGCTGAGAGCTGGGAGAGCCATTCTGCCTGCAGGAGTACCCAGTGTGTTTCTTCCACTATGTGATGTGAAGTCAGTGACTCTGGAAAACAGATACTCTGGCTGCCTTTCCCCTTGGGAAGAGCTTGCCTGACAGTCAGTATGGGCCTTTGTCTGACTGTCCCCCAGCTTGCTCAAGAGTGTCTGTTCTTATGCCAGAAATGCTCCCCAAAGCACTGGATCCCTGCTGCTGCGAGGAGCTGTGTCCAGCCTGTGAGGTGCTCCACTTTCCACTTCCCATGGGGGCACGTGGGGCTGGTGTTCATGCTGGCACCCTTGAGGAATTCTATCAGAGGACACCATGGAAGCACCTCCTCTTGCCCCAGTTTTTTCCCAAATTTCCCCTCTAACCCTGGAGCCAGGCTTTCACCTCCTCTGCCCTGTGGACCCACCTTGCCCAGTGAGAGGAACTGATGTGCATGGAAACGCACCTCATACTAAGTCTTCTCAATTTGCCAGAAATATTTTCCTTCCTTCCATTGAGGCAAATTATTTCTTCCTGCTACTTCCACCTTTCCTTCCTTCCCTTTCTTCCCTCCTTCCCTCCTTCCTTCCATCCTTCCATCTTTCCTTCCTTCCCTCCCTTCCATCCTTCCTTCCTTCCTTTCTTCCCTCCCTCCCTCCTTCCTTCCATCCTTCCTTCCTTCCTTCCTTTCTTCCCTCCCTCCCTCCCTCCTTCCTTCCATCCTTCCACCTTTCCTTCCTTCCTTCCTTTCTTCCCTCCCTCCTTCCTTCCATCCTTCCGTCTTTCCTTCCTTCCTTCCTTTCTCCCCTCCCTCCCTCCCTCCCTCCTTCCTTCCATCCTTCCATCTTTCCTTCCTTCCTTCCTTTCTTCCCTCCCTTCCATCCTTCCTTCCTTTCTTCCCTCCCTCCCTCCTTCCTTCCATCCTTCCACCTTTCCTTCCTTCCTTCCTTTCTTCCCTCCCTCCTTCCTTCCTTCCTTGCTTCCCTCCCTCTCTCCTTCCTTCCATCCTTCCACCTTTCCATCCTTCCTTCCCTCCCTCTCTCCTTCCTTCCATCCTTCCACCTTTCCTTCCTTCCTTCCCTCCCTCCCTCCTTCCTTCCTTCCCTCCCACCTTCCTTCCTTCCCTCCCACCTTCCTTCCTTCCTTCCATCCTTCCACCTTTCCTTCCTTCCTTCCTTTTTTCCTTCCCTCCCTCCTTCCTTCCATCCTTCCACCTTTCCTTCCTTCCTTTCTTCCCTCCCTCCCTCCCTCCCTCCTTCCTTCCTTCCATCCTTCCACCTTTCCTTCCTTCCTTCCTTTTTTCCTTCCCTCCCTCCACCTTTCCTTCCTTCCTTTCTTCCCTCCCTCCCTCCCTCCCTCCCTCCCTCCCTCCCTCCCTCCCTCCCTCCTTCCTTCCTTCCTTCCTTCCTTCCTTCCTTCCTTCCTTCCTTCCTTCCTTCCCTTCTTCCTTTCTTTTTAGATGGAGGCTTCCTCTGCCACCCAGGCTAGTATGCAGTGGTGCAATCTTGGCTCACTCCAACCTCTACCTCCCAGGTGCAAGTGAGTCATCTGCCTCAGCCTCCCAAGTAGCTGGGATTACAAGTGCCCGCCACCATACCTGGCTAATTTTAATTTTTGTATTTGGCTGGGGTTTCATCGTATTGGCCAGGCTGGTCTCAAACCCCTGGCTTCAAGTTAATCGCCCACCTCAGCCTCCCAAAGTGCTGGGATTACAGGTGTGAGCAACTGCACCCCGCCCCCGACTTCCACCTTTTATCCCCAATTTGCCCTCCAGAATCACAGCAATAGTAAGTACACGCCATCCATATTTTGAAGATGACCATTTTGTTCCCCCATGGACTTCTCTTTTTAGCCCAAACACCCCAAATTCTTCCCCTCAGCCTTCCTCTGCTGCATTTGCACTCTCACTTGTCTGCTTGTAACTTACAGACAAGCGCTAGGTTTTAAATGTCTCGGGCTGTAGTTCTCCAAGGGTGATTTGGCCTGCCGGGAATAGCAAAGTCTATCTCCTTCCTCGTGGCTGACAGAGACTTGCTGCGAAGGTGGCCTTGGCCCAGACAGACTTCCTGGCCCTTCCTTGCAAGTTTCACCAAGTAATCCACCTGCCCCCTCCTCAGCCCTCCCCGCCTCCCACCAATCTCCTGTGACTGTTGCAAGCGGAGTTTGACTTCTGGCAGAATTCAAAGCCTCCCTGGGCTCTTCCCTCCCACAGCCAATTCCTAGTCTTTGTAACAACCTGCACGTGGAACTTGGTTCCTTTTCCTCGAATCGTGTAACTATCTGTTTATGGACCTGACTTAACTGAGCACTGGGACTTCTGGTTCCTACAATCCCTTGACGATTCCCACCAGCATGGGCTCCAGGGTCCTGTTGCCATTGCTCTCTGACTTCCCCTTCTGCTCATAGCATCTCCCTCTCAAAGCAAATCCTTTCCATATGCAGAAGGATTATGTGCTCTGTTTTTTTTGCCCCCAATACTGGGTTCCAGACCTCCTCTTGCAGATTGAAATCTCATCAGTGTCCTCTGCTGAACAATGGGGTATCCATTTCAAGAGTAGCTCCTTCTCTTTTCTTTCCCAGTGTCAAGAAGAAGGGGTAGATGAAAACTTAGTTTCACCTCTATGTGGATTATGCTTTCTGATTTCCACCTCTAAGAAGGCCAAAGGGCTGCAGCTATCAGGTTAGCTTTGGCTTCAAACAGCAAGTGTTTCCTTCCATGACATTGTCAATGTAATCAATGTTGGAAGTCCCGGAGGAATCACCATTCTCCCAGAAGTCTCTGGAACATTTCTAGGAGCCTCACTGACCCCCAGGACTGCTGGGAAACGTCAGAGGGGCCTCAGCTACTTCTGCTTCACACAATGCTAATTTTCTTGGAAGCATCCTTTTCACTTTTACTATGCCTAAATGTATTGGGATGGACACTCTTCGCTGAGGCTCTAGGAATATGAAGTTGGCAGAATTAAATTCCGGGTTGTCCAAGAACCACTATGATTTGAAACCATTCTTTTGATCCAGGGCAGAATTTTGGATTTTCTGGAGGTCACTTTAAGACAACTTAGTACTGTGATCATCTCCATCGTCACTCATTAATCCAGCCAATGTTTATTGAGTACCTCCTGTGTCCCAGGACTTGGCTGTGCACTTGGATATGTACACAGGAAGGAATGGGACCAAGGCTTTGCCATTAAGTTTATAGCATAGTGGTGAATACTAACATCAGAGCACATTAAAGCAAAGGTAATGAGAATTACAACAAGGAAAATGAAAACCATAATATCAGTTGTTCCTTTTAATGAACGTGGTGTCTTCTCTCTGCAAGTACGTTTTGAAGGGTTCTTCTAGGACACTGACACCCCGCGGGAGGATTGTCCTTTGTATTTCCTATTTATCGTTGTGATGGTGTATGGAATTTTCCTCCCATTACGTTTTCTGTCAGGTTATTATTGGTGTAAAACAAAGCTATTGATTTTTATAGATTTATTTTGTAACTGGGCACCTTATTAAACTCTTTTATTGTGTTTTAAAATTTGGTAATAGCTTTTCTACAGAAAGCAATTTTCACTGACCTCAGGATGACGTTCTCTCTCCGGAACTGCCTTGTTCTCACATCACGTTGAAAGTAAAAATTGTGTATGAAGAAAACGCTTTGGAAATAATTCTTTCCTGCTCCTTGGAACAAGTCTACTTCTCAGTGGACATTGGTTATAATTCACCTTAATCGTGCCCTTGTCTTGAACTCCTTCATCCTTTTACACACTTCACCCTCAGCCTCCACTCACCCCCACCCGCCTATCCTTCTTAGCTAGGGAGGGTGGTATTTGCTCAGCATGGGAATGTGAAGACCTTTCTTTCAGCGATGATGTGGGCACATCTTTAGTCTCAGGTGAAATAGAAGTTGGGAAGCTTGGGTTTGGATGAATAGGGAGGGAGGTTAGTCCCAGAAATTCACTGTTGTATCCATTTGCTTATGTTTTCAGAGCCTTGGCCTTGCTCTGCCCTCTTTCTGCACTGCTGTTCCCTCAGGTGTCCGTCGGACTCATTCCATTGTTTTATTCAGTTCTCTGCCTCCCCAGCAACTTCTGTGAGCCTCATTCCTAACCATTTTATTTCAACAGCATCCACGCTCCCTTCTCCCCCAAGCCCTGCCTCCCTTGCCTGCTTTCCTGTCCTTTCTGGGCTCATCTCTTCCTGACCTGGGATATACTGATCTCTTTATGGCCTCCATTAGAATGTAAACCCCTGGGCATGGTGGCTCACACCTATAATCCCAGCACTTTGGGAGGCCAAGGCAGGCAGATCACAATGTCAGGAGTTTGAGACCAACCTGGCCAACATAGTGAAACCCTGTCTCTACTAAAAATACAAAACTTAGCTGGACATGGTGGCATACACCTGTAGTCCCAGCTGCTTTGGAGGCTGAGGCAGGAGAATTGCTTGAACCTGGGAAGCGGAGGTTGCAGTGAGTGAGATCATACCATTGCACTCCAGCCTGGGCGACAGAGCAAGACTCTCTCAAAAAAAAGAATGTAAACCCCCTTGGACTCTGACATTGGTTTGTTCCCATATGCCCAGCTACTCAACCACTGGTTTTCCCTCTCTGGGCTCTCAAGTATGTATAAAATGAATGAATTAAGCCAACCCCCAAGTACCTGCTGTTTGCCAATTTCTGAGTGGGATCTGGAGATCCATTGGTGAGCACATCAGACGTAGAATCAGTGTGTCAGGTCCTAGGTCGCAAAGGATAGACGGGGCTCCCCAGAGAAGTTTCTGTTCCCTGTGTGGGGTGCAGGTTCCATTCATTGAAGAATCACCACTTCTGCCTCAGGGATGCTGGGAGCCAACACCAGCCTGCTCGGTGTGAGGACTCTGGAGCCTTGGCTGCGGTCAGAAGGTTGTCCCTGTTGATCAGACACCATCTTGGCCTCGTGGTCAGCTCCTGCTGCCCTGTCTGCACAGATCTGAAGATATTCTGTCCAGTACCGTCCAGGAGGGCTGCGCTCTCACATATAGAAACGGAGTGGCTGGGATACCTCCAACCCTCTTCAGGTACAGACGGTCCCTGACTTAGGAGGGTTTGGTTGAATCATTTTTCAACTTTACCATGGTACAAAAGTGTTACACATTTGGTAGAAGCCCGTACGAGTATTCTACTTTTCACTTTCAGTACAGTATTCAGTAAATTACGTAAAATAGTCAATACTTGATTGTAAAATAGGTTTTGTGTGAGATGAGTTTGCCCAACTGTCAGCTAAGGTAAGCGTCCTGAGCGCGTTTGAGGGCGGCTGGGTTAAGTGATGTTTGTTGTTAGGTTAGGGGTGTTAAGTGGGCTTTTGACTTAGGATATTTTCAGCTTATGAAAGGTTTATCAGGATGAACCTCCTCGTAACTTGAGGACCATCTGTACTTTCTTTCATATCAAATCCTCAAAGTCGAGAGGTCTCTAGGTTCACAGGCATGTACTGCTCCTGTTTTTCAGCCCATGTATTTTTCATTTGTCTAAGGCTTTTCATTGTTAAACATTTCCTGGGAATTTTGAAAGAAAGGTGAATTCAGAAACTGACTCAAGTCATCTTAAAAATTGTTTATTGTGGCCTGGCATGCTGGCTCAGACCTGTAATCCCAGCACTTTGAGAGTCCGAGGCAGGTGGATCACAAGGTCAAGAGATTGAGACCATCCTGGCCAACAAGGTGAAATTCCTTCTCTACTAAAAATATAAAAATTAGCTGGGCATGATGGCGCGTGCCTGTAGTCCCAGCTACTTGGGAGGCTGAGGCAGGAGAATCACTTGAAACCGGGAGGTGGAGGTTGCAGTGAGCCGAGACTGTGTTACTGTACTCCAGCCTGGGCAACAGAGTGAGACTGTCACAAAAAAAAATTGTTTATTGTGATCATTAATGGTAATGAATAGACATGTTTTTCTTTACATTTTTATTAAAATAACCTGTCAACTGCTACTTCTGTGTCTCTTTCCCTTTTCTTCTTTTTTTTTTAGATGGAGTTTTGCTCTTGTTGCCCAGGCTGGAGTGCAATAGCAATGGTGCCATCTTGGCTCACGGCAACCTTCACCTCCTGGGTTCAAGCAAATCTGCTGTCTCAGCCTCCTGAGCGACTGGGATTACAGGTACGCACCACCGTGCCCGGCTAATTTTTGTATTTTTACTAGAGACGGGGTTTCTCCATGTTGGTCAGGCTGCTATCGAACTCCCAACCTCAGGTGATCTGCCTGCCTCAGCCTCCCAAAGTGCTGGCATTGGAGCCATGAGCCACCATGCCTGGCCTCCCTTTCCTTCTTTTAAGGTCGGCAAGTCTATCTCATATACCATAGTTTTAATAATTCAAAAGACACATTTTTTCACATTCCAGTATCTTTGGAATTGGGCTGCATACTGCCGTTGACAGTTTCCTACAGTCTCTGTTGGCCCAACAACAATTGGGGTCTTATTGCCATTGCGGGCTGATTTGTGAGGTGCAACCATCTCCAGCCTTAAAAAATGCTGTGTCAGCAACATGAGCATCAATGACATTGAGGTTCACTTGAAATTTGAAAAGAAATTCTTAAGTGTCAGACTTTAAATGTGAAAAAGTTTTAGGAATACCTTGACTAAGCTATGCTACTTATATGGCAGATATCTGTATCTAAATAAATCTAAAATAATTCTTTCAATAAAACAAACGTTCTAAGTACTAGAAATCGTTGCATTATGGTTTCGTTGGCAGCTTTTTTCTTTCTTCTGTAGAGGTGTCCAAAATGATAGGGCATCATATAATTTTTGGTATCTTAGGTTTGATGAAATACATGACACATCACCCTGAAATACATTCACAGAGATGTTAATAATTTCCTCCCTGCTTTTTTCTTTACTCGGTCCTCTACTTCGTTCCAATATGTTTTATCTAAGAAGTAACAAAGTTTCTGCTGAGAGCTCCATTTGATAACTGTTAGCTTTATAAGTATAACTTCACTTACGGACTTGTTTGTTCTGCTGGAAAACACCAGGTTTCTAGATCAGAGACAGATTTTTTAACTGCTCACATAGCCACCTTTGCACCATTCCCCATGCACCAATCTCCCGCGGGGTGACAAACTGCAATCCAGATGTACAGGAATTTGGGCCACAGGACAGGAACTATGAGATTATGAATTCTGGAGCTTATATAAAAGCTGCTGACATCGCTGCTCTTTCTCTTCTCACCCCAGGTAGAGAAAGAGAAAGAGCTTTTGCTCTGAAATGTAAACAGTGGCTCTCTAGGGAGAGAAGGAGAAGGTCTCTAGGTCCATCAGCCTTTGAAATATAAACACTCATCGCTAGGGGAGAGGCTGCCGCCAATCTCTCCAGAGGTTACTGTCTTTAACTTCCAAAGTTTGTTGCCATCCAAACGTTCTTCAACCCAGGTTGCCAGCACCTTTTGCTCAGAAAACCAGGACCATGTAAACATGGAAATACGATTTGCTTCCCCCAAATCATGCTGATTTCTGCTAACATCTAAAGAAGAGTCTTGTGAATTGGGAGGTTAGGGGAGGCAAAGAGTAAATTCTAACAACTACTTGATGAAATGGGAGGGAGAACATCAAAATCACCAGAAGTCCTTAATGAGAGAGCCCTGTATTTGTTCAGAGGGATTTCACTGATACAGTGCATGGAGGTAGAAGCTAATTTCTTAAAGGGACTGCGTATGGACTAAACTATAGGGCCAGCATCAAGTGGGGAATATTTTAGCTGTAACAGAAGGAAAAGAGTCAGAAAATAGAAGGAAGCAGTGTCAACACAGGCAAACAAGTCCGCGTATATTTGCACAGTGAGTGATAGGACTTTCTCTGACAAACAAAATCTTCAGTGAGAGTTTAACGAAAATCACAAAACGCTTGATGTGAATGGATTTCCCGTGGACCCTACTGAAGGGGAGAGTTCTGTGTCTCAGCTTCCACTACGGACAGCCCATGAGGTTGCAGGAGCACAGAAGGGAGAGGAGTGGGGCTGTGGAGACCGAGGCATCATGGTGAGGGCTTTCCCCATGGCAGGCTGTGGAACTGCGGTTTCAGTCAAGTTCAACGAAGTCTCGCGGGGTTACATCGAATTAGTCTATTTTTTATAGAATTGGGACAATGGTTGAATTTCTGTCTCATGCTTTGTGGCACTACTTTTCTGGGTCCTATCTGACAAGAGACAAGGGAAAGTGAGTCCAGGGTTGTGGATCTAAGCTCTTTACAAGCCATTTGTCATTCTCACCTTCATGGACATAGGTTGTGCCTCTACCTCCAGCCATCCTACATCCCAATCCTACTGGGTTTTTTTCCTTTTTTTCATCTTTTTTTTTTTTTTTTTTTTTTTTTTTTTTTAGGTGGAGTCTTACTCTGTCACCCAGGCTGGAGTGCAATGGTGTGATCTTGGCTCGCTGCAACCTCTGCCTCCTGAGTTCAAGCAGTTCTCCTGCCTCAGCCTCCCAAGTAGCTGGGATGACAGGTACATGCCACCACACCCAGCTAATTTTGTATTTTTAGGAGAGATGAGGTTTTGCCATGTTGGTCAGGATGGTCTCGAACTCCTGGCCTCATGTGGTCCTCCCACCTCGGCCTCCCAAAGTGCTGGGATTACAGATGTGAGCCACCACACCTGGCCCTGCTGAAATTAAGGCTGCAAAAACAAGTCAAAGCTCATTTTGTATTAATAATGGCTCAGGAAATTTTTCTTTGTGACTAAAATATATATGTATCAGCTTTGCAGTCACGTGGTCACTCATTCATTCATTTGTTCATCAGTACTACATGTCCCAGTTCCCAATTAGCTTACATCTGGAGAAGGAGCTTTTACTAGATTAACATGTGTAAAATTGTAGTCTACATGTCCTGGCATAGTTACACCATCACAGAGGCATGCATAATGCACAATGAAGGAGAGTGGGCTGTTTCTGCTTAGAGCCTTTGGCAAGACTCCCTATTAAAAGTGTTACAGGCAGGCGTGGAAGGATTGCCTGTATCATGCCAGTAGAAAAGAGGCAGATCGGCATTTTAGATCAAAGGGAAACATGAGACAGGACAGTACAAGGGCAAGTTGAAAGCTCACCGTTGAAGGAATGTAGAGATGTGAGTTGGAATGTCAGAGAAGAGACAGGCTGCCACTCCTATCTCTGCAGGTCTTTATTATAAAGATTAATAGCAATGGTCTTTATGCTCATGACCAAGGCGGGCCATAACCCTGCTGATGATGAAGTGCCCCAGTGTACATGGTGGGAAGCTTAATGTCTGGGGCTGAATCAGGCTGGTCTTTCTCTGCTGCATTCCCTGGTTCTGGCACAGGGTCTCACAGAGACTCAGTGTTCAAGGAATGTTTATTGATGGAAAGAAATGAATCCTTTGGTAGTCTGACTTCATGTATTCAGCAATTGTAACATTTAGGGTAGCCAAATCAGTGTCCTGGTACTGCTTGATATTCTTGAATATATATAAAAATTCCTGTTAAGTCCCTGGTGCATACAATAAGGTGAGTTTCCAAATTTAGAATTGCATAATAATTCTTACACATCTTAATGAAGAAGCAGATGTGAGAAGAATCCATGTAATGTGCTGAACATCATGTGGCTGCACAATTGTGTTGGGCTTTCTGTTTATAGAGACAACGGCTTTCCCTGAATATCTGAAGGAATGCACATTTTCTTGCCTAAAAGCTAGCAGCGAGTGGCTGCCGTGACATTTTTAGCAACTGAATGCATCCTGGGCTAAATCCCAAGATTCAGTGGATAATAGACTGGTGGTCAGCTGTGCACTGTTGCAATGTGAGCATTCACCCAGACAGCCCCTTATGGCTCCTTTTGGAATCACTTGGCATTACTGGGAGCTGTCTCGCCTAACAGCAGCTCCACAGAACGTATTCCCATCACTCTTAAGAGAAAGGTCTGTGGGGAAGAGGAAGGAGCTGCAGGCTAAAGCTGTGGGGCTGTTTCTAATAAAAATATGTCTGAGATATATAGATCATATATACAGGCGCCTAGATGGACAAGAGTAGCAGACAGCCACCCACCTGCTGTGGTTCCAGGGTGACTGTTCCCGGTCCCCAAAGGACAACTGCACTTGCTTTGCTTTTGGAAATTCTCTATTGTGCTCATGCCTTTTATTCTATGAACAGAATTAAGGCTTAAAATGTAAATGCCATCTGACCCAGTAATCTCACTCCAAGGCAAATAACAAAGGTTGAAATCAAAAGACATTCCATGTAAGATCATTTAAAATGAAAAAATATGCAAGTTACTCAAATGCTCAGTAAGGAGAAGCAAATCACACACATGCAGCAAATGTAAATGGTTTCCCAAAATTTTACATGTAAAGATATTCATAATATATTCTTAAATGACATGGAGCAAAAATAATATAAAATTGTGCTTATGGCAAGATTGCAATTATGTAGTGTGTACAAACACACAGGCACATGCGTTCACACACACACACACACACACACACACACACACACACACACAAGCACAGCCTGGGTCTAAGACTACATCAGGATTGGCTGTGCAGTCTCACTACTGGGTGTGTATCCTAAGACAGTAAAATCAATATGTTGAAGAGATACCTGCCTCTTATGTTCATTGCAGTGTCATTCACAATAGCCAAGACATGGAAACAAACTAATGTGTGTTGATGTACCACTGTATGTGGCATATATATATATCATGGAATAGTATTTACAAATGGTGTCATTTGTGACAACATGGATGAACCTGGAGGACATTATGTTAAGTGATGTAAGCCAGGCACAGAAAGACGAATACTGCATGCTCTCACTTAATATGTGGAATCTGGAAAAGCCAAACTCATGGAGGTAAAGGGTAGAATGGTGATAGCCAGGGGCTGGGCATGGGTGGGTATGAGATGGTGGTCAAAGGGCATGAAGTTTCAGCAAAGGGTGTGCTTTTGAGATCCGTTGCACAGCATGGCGACTACAATTAGTAATGTAATGTGCATTTCAAAATTGTTAAAAGATTTTTTTTTTTGAGACAGGGTCTCACTTTGTTACTCAGGCTGGAATGCAGTGGTGCAATCTCAGCTCACTGCACCTCTGACCTCCTGGGCTCAAGCGATCCTCCCACCTCAGCCTCCTGAGTAGCTGGGACTACAAGTGCACACCACCACACCTGGCTAATTTTTATATTTTTTTGTAGAGGTGAGGTTTCACTGTGTTGCCCAGGCTGGTCTTGAACTTCTGCATTTAAGAGATCCTCCTGCCTTGGCCTCTCAAAGTGCTGGGATTACAGGCGTGAACCACTTGTACCCAGCCGAGAACAGATTTTAAATGTTTTGCAACTACAGAATATGTGAAGTGATAGATATGTTAATTAGCTTGATTAACTCATTCCATAATGTATATATAATCAAAACATGACATTGTACCCCATAAATCTATACAATTATTATTTGTCAATTAAGAATATATTTTTAAAAAAGAAAAAAAGATATTGACTGTGGAGCTGGTGGCATCCTGCCCCCACCACCTCCCAATTATGTGTCTCCTTGTCTGAGTAATTGGCAAGGCCTGTGAAGGGAGAACTGGGGAGGGAGGAGTGCAAGGTAAAATTTATGAAGCTATTTTTCCAAAGACATGACAAAGTACAAAAGAAATTGGAACAAGGGACTTTTTTCCCTTTCCTCAAGAAGCACAGACTTGGGCCATGATCGAGCAGGGCCTGAAGAGATCACAGTTCTGCTTGGCCTTGCAGCTTTGGGCTGTTTTAGGGGCTCTTTGGTGAAGGGGCTGATGTTTTCTTAGATGACAGTGGCCGTGGTGCTGAGGAGTGTTGCTTGTGTCCTAGAAGTCACGAGATGGCTGGAATGAAAGTCACTTCTTTCCCTCTGTGAGAGCCTCTTGTGGATGCCCACAATCAACTGGGGAGAATGGGAGAGTGACAGCAAATGAGCCAGGAAAACTGGCGCCTCCCAAGTACCCGCGTACAACTGGTACGAACAGTGCTGGTACCTCATGAGTACCCAAGAACAACCGGTGCAACTAGTGCTGGTACCTCATGAGTACCCATGTAAAACTGGTACGAATAGTGCTGGTACCTCCCGAATACCCAAGTACAACTGGTACAACTAGTGCTGGTACCTCATGAGTACCCATGTAAAACTGGTACGAATAGTGCTGGTACCTCCCGAATACCCAAGTACAACCGGTGCAACTAGTGCTGGTACCTCATGAGTACCCATGTAAAACTGGTACGAATAGTGCTGGTACCTCCCGAATACCCAAGTACAACCGGTGCAACTAGTGCTGGTACCTCATGAGTACCCATGTAAAACTGGTACGAAGAGTGCTGGTACCTCCTGAATACCCAAGTACAACCGGTGCAACTAGTGCTGGTACCTCATGAGTACCCATGTAAAACTGGTACGAATAGTGCTGGTACCTCCCGAATACCCAAGTACAACCGGTGCAACTAGTGCTGGTACCTCATGAGTACCCATGTAAAACTGGTACGAATAGTGCTGGTACCTCCCGAATACCCAAGTACAACCGGTGCAACTAGTGCTGGTACCTCATGAGTACCCATGTAAAACTGGTACGAATAGTGCTGGTACCTCACGAATACCCAAGTACAACCGGTACAACTAGTGCTGGTACCTCATGAGTACCCATGTAAAACTGGTACGAATAGTGCTGGTACCTCCCGAATACCCAAGTACAACCGGTACAACTAGTGCTGGTACCTCATGAGTACCCATGTAAAACTGGTACGAATAGTGCTGGTACCTCCTGAATACCCAAGTACAACTGGTACAACTAGTGCTGGTACCTCATGAGTACCCATGTAAAACTGGTACGAATAGTGCTGGTACCTCCCGAATACCCAAGTACAACTGGTACAACTAGTGCTGGTACCTCATGAGTACCCATGTAAAACTGGTACGAATAGTGCTGGTACCTCACGAATACCCAAGTACAACTGGTACAACTAGTGCTGGTACCTCATGAGTACCCATGTAAAACTGGTACGAATAGTGCTGGTACCTCACGAATACCCAAGTACAACTGGTACAACTAGTGCTGGTACCTCATGAGTACCCATGTAAAACTGGTACGAATAGTGCTGGTACCTCACGAATACCCAAGTACAACTGGTACAACTAGTGCTGGTACCTCATGAGTACCCATGTAAAACTGGTACGAATAGTGCTGGTACCTCACGAATACCCAAGTACAACCGGTACAACTAGTGCTGGTACCTCATGAGTACCCGCGTACAAGGAAGACCCAGGGATGTCTGAGAGGCCTGTTTAGACCAAAGGCTGCAAGGAAGTGCATCAACATGTAAAGGAAGATGATCTCCTTACTATGGGAGTATCCATCCTTTTCAGTTTCTCTTATATTTTTATGTTCTTGAAAGTAAGCATGTGTATTAGTCCATTCTTGCATTGCTATAAAGAAATACCCGAGACTGGGTAATTTCTAAAGAAAAGAGGTTTAATTGGCCTTTGGGTCTGCAGGCTGTACAGGAAGCATCGTGGCTTCTGCTTCTGGGAGTCTTTAGGAGACTTACAATCATGGCAGAAAGCAGAGGGAAGGCAGGCAGGTCTTACATGGCTAGGGCAGGAGGAAGAGAGGGGGGAAGAGGTACCACACACTCTTAAGTGACCAGGTCTCTCACTTGCATTAATTACCACTTTCAGATATGTAAGTTCCTAGAAGAGAAGGTAAGAAGGAAGGCAGAGGCAAGAAATAATGGAAATAATGCTCATTTACCAGGGATGGTGTTAACTGTAGTTCTGGCTATGGCCGAGTATGACCACATAGATGAGAAGGTGTGTGGCTCAGGCTCTGTACCAGGCTCACTTCTGTCTTGTTCTCAGGTCCCCAGTGTTGCTGAGACCCCAAGGTGGAAGCTCTGGAGTGGTCAGCATTTGCTCCTCACATACTGCAATCACCCCTGGTGGTACATGGGAAAATGAGGCATGGCATATGTGCTGACTGTCTCACAGCTACTCGGCTCCTAGTGGCTCTACCTCACTGAAATCCAATCATGGCCAAAGCAATTTGGGACTAAGCAGAAAACCTTCCCCCAACCCCTCTGCAGAAGCTGGATTCTTAGTGGGATGGTCTCTTAATAAGAAGCTCCATTTTTCTTCGCTCTGAATAAATGATATATGGTTTTACTTGTGAAGCCTGTGCCTACAGCTTCTATCAAAGTAGTAACAATACTTTGGAAGGGGAAAGGAAGGTATAACATTCTAAGCACCAGTCCATATTTCAGAGAATTCATAGCTTTTGGATTTCATTGTATTTGGACAAGAAAGGAAAAACAACTTGAGTTATTTAAAGTTACGTGAATACACTTACAAATAATTAACGTAAGCATGCGCACACTCCTACTCAGTTTCCGCCCTCATTTTGATGTTCCATAGCGTTGAGCCAAGCCTCCGGGCACCCCCTGCTACCATGCCAACCACCTTAAAGAGTGTTACCTTTGTAAAAAGAAAATTCAGTTACTGGGTTAAAATACTTCTGAACTCAAAACATTTGGTCTGCCTTGTTAATGACGTTCGCGTGTACATTCCTTGCTAGAAGCTTGTCTTGGTAGAAGTGTGTCTGCACCTAAGCAACCTTTGAGGCTGAGGGTGGAGTGGCGTTAGCTTCGGCACCAAGCAGCGTGGTTCCTGTCTCTGAGTGCCCATTCGAAACACCTGGAAGCTTTTTAAAAGTACAGCTCTCCCAGCCCAGGTAAACTGATCCTGAATCTCCAGAGCTGAAGCCTTGGGCACCTGCAGTGATTGAAACTCCCCACTGTGCTGTGCATGCACCAGGAGGACTGAGGACTACCCAAGAAGAAACCATTTTTTTCAGCAAGATGCTGACAGTCTGGAGTTCCTTGCTCCTTGTAAAGGCAAAACAAGCTACTACTAGAGCGTCTTGAGTAAAAAAAAATGAAGTGCCAGATAAATCACAAGAAAGTTAAAAGATAGTTCACATTCTTCTGCCTGTGTTCCTTTTGAATTATATTAGGGACAGGCTTACCAAATTTGCCTGGAAGACACTACCGTAGGTTTCCATGATACTTTATGAGCTGCCATTGTTGTTCCTCTACTGAGAACACCCTCCCTGGATGTGTCTGCCTCTGTAGAGTGATGCACACATGACTGTTGATGCATTGTGGTCACTGCATGAAATTCAGCTCCTCCTTCATCCCTCTCACTGTCCATCGCCCTCCCACCACCCAAGCTGAGGTCAGTTAGATGTCCATTTGTGAGTGGAGAAGACTTTTCTGGAAGGCTGTTGCATGGCAGTGGTGCAGAAGTTGAATAGACAGGTTGGTGCTGTCAGGTGCCTGGAGAGCTCATTCCCTGCAATCCTCTCCCTGTCTGGTCCCAGCCCCTTGCCTGCCACCCCCCTCTTCCCACTTCCCCTCCTCTTCCCTGCTCTTCCTCCTTTCTCTCCCTCACTCTCAGTGGGGCAGCTTTCTCTCCTCTGAAGCAGGGTGCCTGCCCACATGCAGCCCTCAGGGAACACAGCTGCCTCTACCCACCCACCCACATAGAGAGGATCCTGAACAAACACCAGCCTCTGCCTCAAAGGGCTTTCAACTCCAGGTCTTGGATAATAAACATTCCACCACCTCTCTGCACATACCACCCACCCTGCAAGTTCATGTCTGTCCTCCCTTCACTTATGCCTCGAGGCTTTTCCTCCCTCCCAGACAAGCCTGGCTTCATCCAATCATGTCTCCATCATTTGTTTACTAAGCACCATGAGCTGGGCACTGGGCCTGTCCTTGTGCAAAGGGGCAAGTCAGAAACCCTTGCAGTAACCTCACAAACAGGCGACATGGCCATGTGCCCCAAATCCAATCTTCAGTGAAAGCTTCCTCCAAGACATCCCTAGAGCACAGGGCCCTTTCCCACAGCCGGGCTATGCTGGGGGCCACTCTGACCCTGGGGTAGGTGGGCGACTGTGGCGTGTGAGTGAGGGGATGCACTGAGTGTGTGAGGGGTGTGAACATGTGTGAGTGTGAGTGTGCCGGGGGCCAGGGGCTGTGAGTGCACATGAGCGTGAAGGTGGGAGGGTGTGTGTGTATCAGGATGTGTGGCTCCAACAGGCTTGATCCTTAGAATCATCTGCACGTGGATTCCATCCTGATTTGGCCACTTCTGGGGCTGTGAGCTTGGTGTCTCAGGTTTCAGTTTCTCCTCTCACCTCGAGAGGTGAGGTGGCTGAACATCTGTATTAGTCCATTTTCACGCTGCTGACAAGACATTCCTGAGACTGGATGATTTGTAGGGAAGAAGGGGTTTAATGGACTCCCAGTTCCACATGACTGGGGAGGCCTCAATCATGGTGGAAAGTGAAAGGCACATCTTACATGGCAGCAGACCAAAGAGAGAATGAGAACCAAGCAAAAGCAGAAACCCCTTATAAAACCATCAGATCTCATAAGACTTATTCACTACCATGAGAACAGTATGGGGGAAACCACCCCCATGATTCAGTTACCTCCCACCAGGTCCCTCCCATAACATGTGGGAATTGTGGGAATTATGGGAGCTACAATTCAAAATGAGATTTGGGTAGGGACACAACCAAACCATGTCAGCATCCCTCCTGTGGGAGTGGCAGTGAGGAAACCTCTGTGGGACCCTTGTCAGCACACCCAGGACCCCAGCCCAGTGTTCCCAAGGCCTGTTCTGAGCTCTCTCTAGGGCACAGCACCTTCACCCTGTCAATGCCAGCTTTGCTCCAACTGAGAACCAGCTTCCTGCTCCTCCAGCCAGACACACCCCAGCCATGTCTCTAACCCTTGTCTTCCCACCCCATGGCTGTGATTCTCACCTCCCTCCTTTTATCCCCCAAGATGTCAAATCTCCTATAGAGCTGTCCATCCATGGTTCTGGCTCTTCTATTCCCCAAGCCCACTTGCCCCAGGCTCCTGGGTGGGTTTGGCTAATGGTAGGCACCAGAGGAAGATTAAGGATGAGTGGGAGGAGGGGGTGCCTGTCCGTGTCACCTTTCTGCTCAGCGTTGGGTCTCTGGCAGCAGCTCCCACAGGCAGCCCACCACATTCCTTCTCCCACCCAGCTTCCCAGCCCCGGACATCACCACTGCCCAGCCTCCCTCCAGCAAGGCGGCCATGACTGCCAGACATGCCAGCCCTGGGTGACTCAGCTTGCCCTGCTGGCTCCTCACCTCCTCCACTACCTGTGCAGCAAGCGTCCTGCATTGCATTCTCTGTTTCGAATCCATGCCAAAGTTTTGCTTCTGCTAATGTGGCTTTGACAGACATGTCTAGTCTTTTGTTTGTTTTTGAGATGGAGATCTACTCTGTTGCCCAGAGTGGAACAACTGGGAGGTGTTGTGATCTCGGCTCACTGCAACCTCTGCCTCCTGGGTTCAAGTGATTCATGTGCCTCAGCCTCCCCAGCAGCTAGGATGATAGTCATGCACCACCACACCCAGCTGATTTTTGTATTTTTAGTAGACAGGGTTTCACTATGTTGGCCAGGCTGGTTTCAAACTCCTGACCTCAGGTTGTTCACCCACCTCAGCCTCCCAAAGTGCTGGGATTACAGGCATGAGCCACCATACCCGGCAGGCACATCTAGTCTTTAAAAAGACATCTTTCCTTTGGTGCTTCCTCACCTTCTGTCTGCACCCCATCTCTCTCTTTCCCTCACAACACCTCCTGAGAGCATCACCACCACTCCCTTGTCTATCAGGGTTCTCCTCCAAAGTGGAGTGGACACTAAGTCCAGCTCTGCTCTTCCTTCCTTCTTCCCCAGACCACCTCACTGGCTCTTAGAATGGTTGAGGCATTTTACGGATGACCCATAGGAGGAGAGAAGCGGCACTGTCAGACCATGACAGACTTTCCAGAGTTTTGTGAAATGCTTCTAGTAACTGATCTAGTTTGACTTTTTCAAGCATTGAGACCTAACCCCCAGGGTGTTGGGATTAGGAGGTGAGGCCCCTGGGAGGTGATTAGGTCATGGGACTGGAGCTGTCACAGGTGGAATTGGTGCTGTTCTCAGAGAGGCTTCCAGGAGATCCCTCGGCACTTCCACCCCACGAGGGCACAGTGAGAAGGTTTTGTCTAGGAACCAGGAAATGGGCCCTCACCGGACCTGGAACCTACTGGTGTCCTGATCTTGGTCTTCTCAGCCTCTGAACAATCAAAAATACATTTCTGTTTTTTATCAGCCACTCAGTTTGTGATATTTTTCTATGGCAGTCCAAAAGAACTAAGCCACCACGTATCGTAATGATAATAAAAATCACTGTCATTGTCTAACACGTTTTCTGCACATAGTGTCTATTAGGTATCACTCCACTACATGTGTGATGGTTAACATTTAACCCACATACTCATCCTATGATACGGGATCTGCTCTTTTATCCTCATCCCTTTAAACGAGGAAACAGGGGCCAAAAGGATTCAAAAATCAGAGAACCCACTGTATGCCTATCCTGACTTCAGTTTTCCTCCTCAGTGTAACTCCTCCTCAACAAAGTCACTTTTTAAAAAAATATATTTTATTGCATTTTAGATGTTGGGGTACATGTGAAGAACATGCAGGCTTGTTGCACGGGTACATACATGGCAATGTAGGTACATGGCAATGTGGTTTGCTGCCTTCCTCCCCATCACCTATATCTGGTGTTTCTCCCCGTGTTATCCCTCCCCAACTCCCCACCCCCTCTGTCCCTCCCCTAGTTCCCCGCCACAGATGTGTGTGATGCCCCCCTCCATGTCCATGTGTTCTTATTTCTCAACATCTGCCTATGAGTGAGAACATGCAGTGTTTGATTTTCTGTTCTTGTGTTGTTTTTTTTTTAATTTATTATACTTTGCGATCTGGGGTACATGTCACTCTTACCTGGTGTCCCCTGACATCTTCTCTAACCTACAGATGGGAGGTGTAGTGAGTGGGTAGGTGCCAGAGAATGCCTTGAATAGCCAGTTAGCATAGGGCTTGGGGCCTGGGAATGCACCAGGTGGGGCATTTCTTACCCAGGGTTATGGCATGTGGAGTTGGTGGGAATTTTAATTGCCTAAAGGAATACAAGGTGTGGGCCAAGGTAAATACTGCAACCAGGTCGTCAAGCCAAGGGGGAATCTTCCAGGGTAGAGGGCATAGCTGGCCACTGAAGGGGCAGACAGCTTTGGGAGCAGTGGGGGACTGGGTCCAGAGGGCCTGCAGTCATTCTCAGCTGCTGTATGGGTGCCCTCTGTGCTCTCTCCCATAGTGGCCTGCATAGACATTCCATGTATTGTGCACTCTGCTACCCAGGCCCAAGCAGGCAGGGCCAGGGCCACAGATGATGGGAATGGGCTTCAAGTTTCAAAGTCCCGGGGAGCTGCTCAGGAGTGTGGTGCTGGGCGTGGGTGCTTGGGTATGGGTGCCGGGTCTCCCAGACAGTTCTCTGCTTTCCCTGTGTCTTGGCCTCCTGGAATGCACCATACCCTTCCACGAGCCTTGTGAGCCAGGCCACAGCAGTGCCTCTGACCTGCTCTCCTGCTGCTCCCCTCGCTTGCTCTGCTCTGGCCGCCCTGGCCTGTGACTTGCTCCTGTTTCAGGGGTGCTTCTCTTTGCATTTGTTGTCCCTTTTCCTGGAGTCTTTGTGGCTCATTCCCTCACTTCCTCCGGGCTTCTGCTGAACTGCTCTGTTATCTGAGAGGCCTTACCTGAATAGACTAGAACGCCCACCCCATCCCATCACTCTCTATCCCTTTTACCCAGCTTTACTTTTCCTCAGAGCCGCTACCACATTCCAACAGATTCTCTGTAATGTCTTTCTTCCCCCAACCCCAATAGAAGGATAACTTCTTAAGAGGAGGTGTCTTAGTCCATTCGGTCTGCCCTGACAACAAAACCACAGTCTGGGTATCTATAAACAACAGAAAACTAGTCCTCACACTTCTGGAGGGTTGAGGTTCCAGCAGATTCTGTCTGATGAGGACCTGCTTCCTGGTTCACAGATGATGCCTTCTGGCTGTGTTCTCTCATGGAAGACAGGGTGAGGTGGCTCCCTGGGGTCTCTTTCATAAGGACATTAATTCCAACCATGAGGGCTCCACCTTTATGACCTCGTCACCTCTTTCCAACACCATCATTTTGTCATTTTATGAGTTAGGATTTCAACACATACATTTGGAGTGGAGGTAGACAAACATTTCAATCATAGCAGCAGGGATTTATGTTCTCCCCACAAGTATATTATTAAAACCTGGAATGTAGTAAGTGCTCTAAAAATATGTGTTGCTAGCAGAAATACAAAAGGGCAAGTGATCAGGACTATTTAATGCAACCCTGTTTATAATAATGGAAGATTATAAATGGCATATTTTCGTGGCTGGATGACTGGTTGAATAACAGTGGTGCTTCCATGTAATGGAGCATTAGGCTGTAAAAGAAAGGCAGATGACCAGAGGCTACAATGCAGTCATATTAGGCAATGAGAACAAAGAGAGCAATAGTGTGTACATACAGTATGCTTACATATATCTCAGAAAGAGAACAGGAATGATATGGTTGAGCTGTGTCCTCACCCAAATCTCATCTTGAACTATAGTTCTCATGTGTCATAGAAGGGACTTAGTGGGAGTTAATTGAATGATGGGGGCAGTTACCTCCACACTGTTCTTGCGAGAGTGAGTTCTCCCAAGATCTAATGGTTTGTTAAGGGCTTATCCTCTGTGTCATGCTGCATTTCTCTCTTGCCTGCCTCCATGTAAGACGTGCCTTTGCTCCTTCCTCCTTTGCCTTCTGCCGTGATTGTGTTGCCTCCCCAGCCGTGTGGAACCGTGAGTCCATCAAACCTCTTTTCCTTTACACATTATAAATTATCCAGTCTTGTATTTCTTCATAGCAGTATGAAAATGGACTAATACAGTAAATTGGTAGCAGTACGGTGGGGTACTGCTATTAATATTTCTGAAAATGTGGAAGCAACTTTGGAACTGGGTAACAAGCAGAGTTGCAACAGTTTGGAGGGCTCAAAAGAAGGAAGATGTAGGAAAGTTTGGAATTTCCTAGAGACTTCTTGAATGGCTTTGACCAAAATGCTGG